GATATCTTTCAGACATTGCAATACTTGGCAAGAATGCAGGAATGAACTAATTGTCTCCTGCAAACACCCCTCCCCTTTCAATCCTCTATTATTCTGTATGGGAGGGGCCATTCACTGTCACCTGTGGCTTTACTTCCAAGTTGACCCTTGTTCCTTAGCTGTTCCCTTCATCTGGCAATGTGCACACTGGGAACAGGCTCCAGCTGTTTGTCTGCCTCACTGATGTTTGACTCCGAAGGCAGCTGATAACTGTCATATGGCCCTGGTCCCATCCCTGTCTCTGATGCAGAGCCCTCATCAGAGCCTTCCTCAGATTCCAGACTGGTCCATGTTTACCCCTAACCTCCTCACTGTCCAAATCTGCTGCCAGCTCTGCTGGCCACTGGTGGGCCACAACATAAATTGAGCCCAAGATTTACCACCCAGGAGTAGAAGTGGGATCTTTTAGTACTGATCCAAACATGTTTGAGATTGACCAAACATTCTTGAACACTGGAGTGCCTACTCCAATGCCAACTTCTCAACTGGCTTCTCCCATGCCAACTTCCCACTAGTCACTATGGCTAACACTAATATTGTTCATGGCAGAACAGAGAAGCTGCCTTTGGTCCTCTCTCTCCCAGCTGAGCACACTCTCTATCTGCTCTAACAATGTGCAAAGTAAGCTTTTGTATATGCCAGGGATTTTGCTAGGTTTACATCCTCTCTGGATTTCAGAAACTATCCAGAAGTTATCCTTCAATTTTTCTTTTGCGTTCCTGTGAGTTGTGTTGGTCAGAGAGAACAAGTCACTCTATAATTTTCCATTCTGGTTGGAGACAGAATGAAGCTAGATTGGCCCAAGTCTAGTCCAATGCCTTAGCATCAGAGTGGTATTCAGCAGGTTCTGATCAGTTCTGGAGAACTGGTAGTGGAGATTTTGAGTCGTTCGGAGAACTGGTAAATATCATCTCTCATTGGCCCAGCACCCAGCTATTCTCTGCCTCCCCAGTCCCAGCTGATCAGGAGGAAATGGGGATTTTGCAGTAACCTTCGCCTGCCACGCCCACTAAGCCATGTCCACCAAGCCAAGCCACACCCACAGAACCAGAAATCTCACCACTGCTTAACATCCTAAGGGGTCCTCCCTTTTTGAGAATTTGAATTCAGCTCCTGGGGCAGGATGGCCTTGATCAGCACGTTTTCATCTGTTCACCAAAACTAGCTAATGCATCCAAATAATCTTTGCTGGATGATAGACAGAATGTTCAAGTAAGTCCAATGAATGTTCACTATCTTCATAAATGATTTAAATGAGGGGATAGAAGGGGAACTCATCAAATTTGCAAGGGAAGAAACAGCCAACACATTAGAAGATAGTTTCAAGATCCAGAAGGACAAACTTGCACACTGGGCCCCACCCAGCAAACATGCAATTCAGTGATGGAAAAAGTAAGGTTTTATACTTAGACAAGAAAACCCAAAAGCATAGGTATAGAATAGGTGGTATGTGGCTCAACAGGAGTAACTTTGGGAGGGAACTAGAATCCTTAGTAAACAACCACTTATTTAAGTGGCTCATATCCATGAGCCAGAGGTGGGT